TTCCTACAAATAAGAAGTTTGGTTCATTTTTTTTTCTCTTTTTCTGGTTTTACACTGAAGAGGTTACAGTACCTTACCTTACCAATCATAGGTATGAATGCATAAAATAATAATAGTAGTATGAAATGCAATTAAAACTAAAATGTTTGTGATTATAATCATAGTTAAATGTCAAGTGGCAAAGCAAATTAATGTCATATAGAGAATAATTCATAGGATGGATAGAACTTGAAAAAGGGTGTGCAATTATAAGATTAGCAGACAAATCTAATAAAATAATAACGTTACGTAACATCGTGTGAAATTTGATAACATAGAAATTTAACGCTGTAAAAAAGAAGAATTGATTTAGAATGACAAGTGGAACAAGAGAAATAATACCGGGGACAGTTTGAAGTGAGAATAGTAATAGTAACAATTGACGCAATAAAGGAAGAGTATACAAATTGGATAGACAAAATGAAAAATTGGTAGAGCCAAAATGTGATCGGGGATTAACATACTTTAGCATAAAGGGATTAAGACCATGAAAGTTGGAAGGGTTGAACGAACTTTTTCTGTATACAGAGATCTGGCTTTTCTGTTTCGATAGCGAACGACGGCTTCAGCAATACAGATGAGTCGGGTACGTAGTGATTTCGGTAAATTACTTTTTGCCTTGTAGATGACTTTAAAGGCGGAGGCTTTAGAGGTAGAGTGATCATTATCGACCAAATGTTCAATGATCACGCTTCTTATTGCTCCACTTCCACCATGCAGAGGGAAAGTGTTCTTCCACCGTCATGGACAAAACTCGAGTCGAAGATTGACTGATACAATTCAGTCTGCACCAAAGAGAGGACTAGACGCATCACACTAGTTACTAGTGTCAAATCAAAATATCCTATGAATTATTCTATATATGACATTAATTGTTTTGCCACTTGACATTTACCTATGATTATAATCACAAACATTTTAGTTTTAATTGCATTTCATACTATTAATATTATTATTTTATGCATTCACACCTATGATTCAATTCCCTCACTGTATATAACTTCTTAAAGGGGTCATATAAATACGATTGTACAGCTTGATGATAAATTCGTTGTTGGAGAGAATCTCTTCACTGAATCGCCACTTGTTTTGATTTTTGGCACGTCATAAAGAGCATCTCAAACAAACTACAGACCTTCATTAACAGTTGTCTTCGCTCAATACTCAAGATCAGATGGCAATAGATAGAGACGCACGGCTGAAGCCCTATGTTCCTCTAGGAATTAAAGGAAACAATAATAATAATACTTACACAAGGAGAATACATTTCGACTTCCAAGGTTCACTCGTGAACGCAGTGGTATCATACTTCGTGCACCAAAAACTAAGAAGAGAGATAATAAAACTAGTACCACACAAACTAGAAATCTTAATCGAAATGATATCAGCAGTATATCCGCCTATAGGGAAGAATATGGGAAGAAAAACAACAACAAAAAACAGGAATATAAAAGAAACTGATAATAAAATTTTTAATTATTGATGATTTATTATTCAAAGAATATAAATAAATAAATCTTTACAACAACATTTGCAAGCGCCAGTCATTCACCCATTGACTACACCCACCCACCCCCACAGCCAGATGATCAAGCATAACAATCTGTTCCGGTCAAGTTAAACTTTAAGCACCACTAACAACTACTACCCATGGAGTGCGACCGCACCAATGACTACGACGAAACGCTCACTGAGCAAGTTAATCAGTGAAACCTGGCAAGCAATGTTGTCATCATCAATTTAAAATATGTTCATCAATGTGTTAGGTTAGTGAAATTGGATTTCTGGCCTAGGTTTGGGAAAGATTAAGTTACGGTTCAGGTCAAGGACAAGTTAGCGTTAGGTTAACCTAATATAGACGACATTGAGGTTAGTTTAAGGATATTTTCACCTTAGGGCTAGGTTCAGGAAAGATTAGGGTTGGTTATTGTTAGGGTTAGAAAACCTAAATAATTACAGGCATAGAATGTGGTTAAATTACTCTGTTGATATAAGAATACAAATTGTGCACTGTGGAGGTAGAGTATAATTCCATTGTGGGTAAAATTTATTTTGACAAAGTCTCACATCGTGTTATACAGCAATATTATTTACTGATGATCACGTTTCGAGGACAATTTATTGTCCAGTAAATGTTACTGTATAACACTGTGAGACTTTATCGAAATAAATTTTACCCACAATGAAATTATACCCTGTTGATACTCCAACCTAAAACTGAGAGCTATTTTTATCAAATGTCAGGGATAGGTACCCTCTGTAACAGTTATCTCCAGTTTTTATGTATTATTTCATAAATATATGTATTGCATACACAAAAATGCCTCCTTCACGTGATTGGTGTGTTCGACGGTATTCGCTGATTGGTAGTTAATGGTGCTTAGAGTTTAACTTTGCCTCTGTTCCCATTGTTAATTAACACCAACAGAAAGATTCTAATAATAGCACACTGTATATTTACATTTATTCGACAAGTTAAAACATGGGGCTGACTGAGTTTGAGCCTCGACAATGTTCTGGACTCTCCAACCCGCTAAATAAAAGATTCCCTACTAAATCTCTCCAACCTGTTATGTTAGATGTTAAAACTATCGCCTTATCTTATTTTGTATTGTATGATTCTGTATAATTGCATATAGTGCTACAGTCGGGTTTTCTTCTAGATTTCTTATCTAACCTCAATTTTGCTAGGTTTCTGAGCTCTGATACTTTTGTGGTGACAGCTGGCTACTAGCCAAAGTTGGTAGACAGTAATTGACGTCAATGTTTATGTCCCCAATATTAGTGGTGAGAAAATGAGAACAAAGGCTTTGCGTAGGCGGATACAGTTAGCATATGGATGACCTGACACAGCCACAAAGAGATGCAAGGTTAACTTTCTGTGAGATACAGCCAATTAAAAGACTGTATTTTCCACTAACAATAATCTACAATAATGTACATTAAAGTCTATAAATATGTGTTGATTTTCCTTAATAAACGATCTGTTGCCTGGCCCTTGTCTTCCGTTGTTACATCTTGATCTGTATATTTGACCACTTCTTAACCACCGCGGAGAATTAGATAAACTGAATTATTTTGTTTAAGGGGTTCCACAGGGTTCTCCAACTGACATAATTTGTTTTTAAAAGAGTGAGTAGGTTTGAATGCAACACTTTTAATCCTGCTTTGATAAGCATCCCCCGTAAGGCTTTGTATGGAAGTACTACTGACGTCTTAACGATAAAGACAACATGGACGAAGAACATGAAACAGGGGGATGACAACACCAACAACAGGGAATTTAAAGCATCAATAGAAAAGTATGAAAGAGCAAAGCCTTTAAATTCTCAGTTTGTGGACTATACAGTGTGGGGTGGTGACGCTTCACGATTAATGGTATCAAGCAGACCATACACTGGGATTTCGACCATTTCAGTTCGACAAAAACACAAAACTATGGCTGAAATGTCACCTTGAACAATGCACTGTGTAACTTGCGAATTGCGAGTTCGATTCACCAAGAACTTATCACTTACACATTAATTTCTTTGGAGAGTTGCACTATGCTATTACAAAACAAAGTGATTTAAAATACTCTGATCTACAAGAAACTTCCTCCTCTATTTAATCCTTCATCAAATATGCAGAAATATGCTGAAGTAAATGGAAATGGATTGGACACAAGCTGAGGACACCGTCAGCTGATATCGCATGTCAGGCCCTGGAGTGGGAAACAACGATTAGGGCTTCCGATAACGACACGGATGAGAATGAAGCTTGCAGGCATTCGTGGAGCCAGCTGAAGAGCACTGCAGAGAATAGGGCGAAATGGATGCAGATGTGTTGGTGAAACCCTGTGTTCTATACTCGGAACCGAAAGGAACAATTATATGTCATAAAAATACATATTTAGAGTAATTCCATGCATCAGTCTACAGCTCATCAGCAGCTACTGGTTAGATATCAAGAAGTTGTACTGGGAAGCCGTGACCAGTAGGGTCAAATTGGTGTCAAGGTGAAGCAGGTGTTCATAGATAGCGATCACTGGCGGTAGCGCTATATCAGCAATTCACAGAAGTTAGAATTCACAGTGTATTGGATTCCCAGCGAGTAATTGAATGGTCAACAAGTTGGCCTGGTGACCTGAAGCTCCTCCTTTATGGCTGTGAGCCACGGCCATTGAGAGTGGAAAGCATGAAAAGGCTAACTAGCTATCTTCGACCATAGGTGCCTACGTTCAATCTCCCGTGTGAAGTGGCATAGTAGAGTGGGTAATATTGAAGTTAGGTATCGGTCGAGTTCTAGGTAAGGAGGGGAAATCAATCGATGAGATTGTGAAGTTACACCGGTTGAGATGGTTAGGACATGTGTTACATATTCCTAGTCATCGCCTTCCTCGACTGATCGGCAATGTTAGCTGACATAGGGTCAGGTAGGAAATGAGCCACTGGTGGTCAAACCAAAACATGACTTCACCAGTCAATGAAATCCACAACAGTTACTTTAAGCCACGTAGGAAGATGTAGGCTGGCATCCTGGTTGGGGTCCTCGGGATGGTATACACCAATGACGGCTGAAGACAATCGGTGATATGGCTCAAAATCGTTCTCAATGGCTGGCGAAGTTAGATGCATCCACTCCTTGTGACTTATAATTTCCAATGAAACTATATTGTTCTTCGTTATTACTATTCCTATTGTCTAATATTCCTGTCCACTGTCTCTATTTCACATTTCTTCCACTTTCTTCTCTTGTTTTGTGTGCTACATGAAGGTAGTGTGGCGACTTGAACTGCTGCACATCGGTGCAAAGTTCTATGTCGAAAACAGACAGAGGCCTAAATCCTTGATGAGGTCATGGATGCGCGCAGTTGAAGAGAACCATACTAGCTCTCAGTGATCTCTCTAATGATAATTCATGATGAAAAATACACTGACACTATATATACCAAAATAAGTAATAACAAAAAATAGTATAATTCATTTTTTTTTAAACACTCGAACCTCTTTCAAACGCGGTAGAAGATGTGCAGCAACATGGAATTCAGTTTGTATTCGAGTACGTGTATAACATCGATTTGAGTCGAAAACATCACTTCGTTTAGACCATTCAAGAAAACTTATCCGTGCAGATGTATCACCTTTCAGAGAATTTGGTTTACATGTTCTAGGAAGTCTATATGGTTTCATAAAAAAAATAAAATAAAAACCATTAATATTAACGTCAATAATATAAGATTGCACTCCAAATTTATACATTTTTTTTTAATTTTTAAAAGTTTTATATATTCAAAAGGCATAGAAAATGAATTATCTCTGTAGAGGAGCTGAGCGAATGGCCGACTGACTGGCTGGCTTCAGCATAGAACTTTGCACTAATGTGCAGCAGCTCGAGTTGTCACACTCCCTCCATGTACAATATAAAGCAAAAGAAGACAGTAAACAGAGATTCAAAACAGAGATAATAAACAGAATTGTGAGGCAAAAAGAATAGTAATACGGAAGAATAATAGAATGTTATTGGATATTATAAATCACAAGGAGTGAATGCATCTGCACCGGCCATTGACAACGACGATTTTGAGCCATATCACCAAATGTCTCCAGCTGACATTGGTTCTTACCACCCCGAGGATCCCAAACAATCGTGAAGTCTACATCTCCTTAAGCGGCTGGTTGGCTTAAACTAACTGTTATGGGTCCCATTGACTGATGAAGCCATGTTTTGGTTTGACCACTACTAGCTCTTTTCCAACCTCATCTATCTTATGTCAGCTAACATTGCCTGTCAGTCGACGAAGGCGATGGCTAGGGATGCATGCGCAACACATATCTTGACCATCGCAGACGATGTAACTCCACAACCTCGGTGATTGATTTCTCCCTCCTTACCTAACAATTGACGCCTAACTTAAATATTACTCACCTTATTATACCAACTAACATGGCATATAGAACGCAGACACCATCTTCAATTTTCGATGGGCATTTGTGACAGTCAGAAAGGTGAACGGAGCGAACTCACATCCACTTATTTTTAATGCTCTTCCCAATAATCGTCACATTATAGTCACACCTACATTTTATAATAATCAAAATAGTCATACTGCCTGGAACGACTGTTCACAGTCTCTTACGAAGTGAAAGTTAAGTCACCCCGAAGACTGGGGGATAAATGTAGCAACACTGAAGTATTTCCTATGAATGACGATAAACGGACCTATATCGCTTTGATAATTTGGTAACGACGATTAGAAAATGCCCACCCCCCCTCCCGGTAAAAACTTATTTATCCAGACTTCTCCTATGATGGTTTGCAGTCAGAAGCAAAATTTGTCATCATGAAAAAAAGCCTGAAAAATCTGACATCTTTAAACGAGTTACATGTGACAGGCACTAAGGAGACATCTCCTGAGGTCACAAGTAACACACACAACAACAAAATGTAGGTAACCAGGAATATAGCAAGTTTTCTACACCAATTATATACGCTTCTAAGTCTTATCTCATACATCGAGATGTCATTGTAATCGATATTCAAACGGTAGCATTCTGTACAAGCTGATCCAATAAATAAGATGTTAGGCAAAGTAGCAAATACAATGGACAGATACGCTCACCACTAGATAGATAATAAGGGTAGTAGTGAACCATGAGAGTGTTTCGAGCACTAACAGCTAATTCACTCATTTTCAAGCAATCTTTCAATAGTCTGTCTGTTTTCGAAGTAGAACTTTGCACTGATGTGCAGCAGTTCAAGTTGCCACACTCCCTCCATGTAGCACACAAAGCAAGAGAAGAAAGTAAAAGAAATGCATAATAGAGACTGTAGACAGGGATATGAGACCAAAGGAATAGTAATAACGAAGAACAATGTAGTTTCATTGGGTATTATGAGTCACAAGGAGTGGATGCATCCACGCCAGTCATTGAGAACGATTTTGAGCCGTATCAGCGATTGTTACATGGTGTGTCAATCTTTCAACAGACTATAAACAAACAAGGAGTAATACTAGATGGTTGAGGGCAGGAAGCCTTCGACCTAGGTTTCGTGTTGGTTGGAACTCACCAGTCAGCAAGGCATACCTGCAACTGCCCTGAAGGAACTAATGTCCCTTCTGAGATTCGAACACGCGTCACCCAGTGCTGCCTGCAGTCAGAGACGTTACCACTGAGCTATTCGGGATGGTGACTGACCTCCTCCTATAGGTCTGTGTTGGATATTTTGATTATGACAACTCATCACTCACTTGTGGACTGATGAGAGCCGACCGGAAGCTACTACCTAGAAGTGGTGGTCGGGCTTGAACACCGCAGTGACCCAACAAACTATACTGGCTGAGACTTATGTCGCTCGAGGTCTTACCATGCCAGGAGGGTTGTTTGGATAGCGGTTAGACAAAAGCAGTTACCCAATCCAATGCTATGACTCAAACAAAATAACAAAATATCATGCCAGATCGGTCGGGGCCCGGATTAACAACGACCGCGCTTCCTGCTGCCGTGTCACAGGGCAGAAGTGATAAATATGCTACTGAGACACACCAAATAAAAAAGAACAAACAGACAGAGAGCCAACTAGCACGAAACCTAGGTCCAAGGCTTCCTGTGGCCGATTGCCTCCAACCATCTAACATCAACAATTCAAAATGCAACGTGATGGTGAGCTACCTAGTGGCATGGTGGCCACATTGCAAACCTGACTGACTGATAGAATTCAGTCTGCACCAAACAAAGAACTACACATACACATTACACTGGTTACTGACCAGTGTCCAATCAAAGTTAACAAGGAGTAAGCTAATAGAGAGATATACTATCTACGCCTCAACGGAAATGTCCTTATTTTAAAGCAGGCGGATGAATACAGTAAGTAGTGGTATTACACAACCGTGAAGTGATAATCTATATTCAGGTCAATTCAACTGTTAATTAACGAGACGAAATCCACTTCTAAATGGTAACGTAATAATAATGGCTACTTCTGTGTTAATTTTTCTACCTCTTTAACACTGCCCACCAGGAACGTGGTCTCAACAAATCAGGGGATAAAAATAAGATTTACCGGCGAAAACTAACAGGTAAACAGAAGAAGCAGAAAAAAACGGGACTTGAAGTGAACATAGAGAAGACAGAGGCGATGAATATACCTAACGAAAAAGCATTATTGGTGTAAGCCGTTAATTATCCCGATATACGAAAAGGGAGACAAGTCTTCCTGTGATAATCTTGAGGAAGGGGGGGGGTTAGCTTGACTAATATGGCATCTAAAGTCCTAGGCTCAATAATCATGCGTAGACTAGATGGTGCTGGGGAGGCACAAACACGAGAGAACCAGGCAGGTATTGGACAAGGAAGAGGGTGTATCGACCATAATATCTTCACCCTTCGACAGATTCTAGAACATAGGCATTCCTACCAGCGTCCAACAATCGTTATATTTCTTGACCTAAGGGAGGCATTCGATTCTGTCGACCAAGAGTTATTCTGGCAATGCTTGGGTGTAAAGGAAATGCCGAGAAAATACACTGCACTGATCAAGGCACTCTACTCGAACTCATGCAGTCAGCCAGGTGAGAGCTTACGGCCAGTTGTCATCTGAACTGGTGACAACTAGTGGTGTCCGTCAGGGATGCCCACTATCCTCATTTCTATTCAACTTTATCATAGACGTACTAATGAACTTAACCCTAACTCACCTCAGAGACTCAGGGATTGACTTGCTGCTACCAGGGAAAAATAGTCTCGTTGACTTAGAATATGCAGTTGATTGAGTCCTCTCAACTAAGGGAGGACGCTGACAAAATGCACAGTCTTCTGAACACCTTGAGCTGCAATCTACGAATGTTTGGCATGTGATTCACTCCTGCCAAATGTAAGATGATGATACAGCACTCGACTACATCGACTCACTCCTAGCTTAAAGATAGGAAGTGAAGTGGTTCGTGGAGCACGTTGACCACTTCGCTTATTTGGGAAGTTGCATCAGCCCCAATAGGTTGATCTCTGACGAAATCTCAGCACGGATACAGAGGACCAGTTTCGCATATGCCGGTTTACGCCGTCTCTGGCGTAGACGTGATATCCGACTATCGACCAAAGTGCGAGTGTACTGCTCAGCAGTCCGCTCCGCCCTGCTTTATGGCTGTGAGACCTGGCCATTGAGAATGGAAGACATGAAAAGGCAAGCTAGCTGTCGTCGATCATAGGTGCCTGCGTTCTATCTCCTGTGTGAAGTAGTATAATAAGGTGAGCGATACTGAGGTTAGGCATCAGTCGAGTGCTAGGTGGATAAAAAGGGGAAATCGACCGATGAGGTTGTGTTACGGAGGTGATGAAGATAACCAACCAACAACATAAACAACAACGACCAGCACCAATCACCATCAACGGGAGAGATCTAAATGAGGTTGTTTCCTTCACTTATCTAGGAAGCATCGTTCCAAATACTGGCGGGACGGATGAAGACATCAAAGCTAGCCAGTCAGAATCGGAAAGGCAAAATACGCCTTTATCACCTGACATCAGTTTGGAAATCTTCTGCACTCAGTCAGCATAAAGAGTAAGATTCGGATTTTCAACACCAATGTTAAGTCAGTCAGTTCCGCTATACAGGTCAGAAACTTGGCACGTCACGAAGAGCATTTCAAACAGCCCACTTCAGACTTTCATCAACAGTTGTCCCCTTCGCTGGCTTCATACTAAAAATCAAATAGCCAGGAGGAATTATTATTATTGTTTCCGTCGGTTCCTACAGGAACGTAGTGCTTCAGCTGTACGTCTCCATTGCGTTCGGTTCTCTGCTAGAGTCTTCACCTGGCTCCAAGCCTGACCACACGTCTTCATCTCCTTTTCACATGACCTCCTCCATGTCACCCTTGCACTGACGACCAACTCACTCGAGCAATGGCTTGTCTCGTGATGTCGACTGATGGTTTTCTCAGAGTATGGCCAATCCACTTACATTTCTTCTTGCTTATTTGTTGCAGAATCGGTTCCTGCTGAGTTGGTTCGTTCATTGCCAGAGATGCCTCCCTGCTGCTGATCTTTTCTCGCTGGCTATCTGATCTTGAGTATTGAACGAAGACAGCTATTGATGAAAGTTTGTAGTTTGTTCGAAGTTCTCTTCATGACGCGCCAAGTCTCTGATCCATAAAGTAGCACTGACTTCACATCGGAGTTGAAAATCCGGACCTTATTTTTTACGCTGAGTCCTGTTGATCTCAACACAAACTTGAGAGAAATGAAAGCTTGCTTCGCTTTCCTGATCCTCACTTTGATATCCTTATCAGTCCCGTCCACCTGTATTTGAAACGATGTTTCCCAGGTATGTAGGTAAAGGAGGTTGCTTCTCTCAGAATCCTCCCATTTGTGCTGATTGCTGTCTGTTGTTGTTGGCCAGGAATCTTCATCACCTCTGTTTTCTCTATGTTCACCTGAATTGCTATCCTCTCTGGATGCTTCTTCTGCCAACTTGTTGCTTTTCACTTGCATAACTTCCAGTTTGTGGGAAGTCGGACAAATATCATCGGCGAAGTCCAGATCCTCCAAGCTTTTTGTGTGAGCCCATTTCATGCGTGTTTCCTCGCTGCCTAATGTCTGTCACACTATCCAGTCTTCTTCCGTCTTCACTTCGAAGGATTCCGTGAGTTTCCCGTTGTGGATTACCTGTCATGCAGCACTGTCGTACAACTGTTGGATGAGGTGTATAATTGTCGGCGGCGCCCTGTAGTAGCGAAGTATTTGCAAAATCACCTCTCGATCGACGCTGTCGAAGGCATATATATAGAAAGAGAGAGTGTACTTTTCAATTACTGGTTGATGGTAAATAGCAGCTGAATCGACAATATGCATTTCCTCCTGTCTGAGATTCGTCACTGAGGGTATCTGTATTCCAAATGCATTTTTTTTAAATTTTTTTTATTATTTTATTTTGATTTACAGCTTGATGCCACACCGTATTTTCAGTACAGGTATGGAATTTTCAGCATGGATATCGGTAGCCCCAATTTACAGGCCGACCATAGATATCGGGTGTGCGCCGGCAGGGGATCGAACCCCGGACCATGTGCATGGTCGGCGAGAGTCCTAACCACTGTGCCAACGAGACTCAAACTTCGCATGCATCATTTGAAATGTCGTACCATTATCCCCTAAGTCAACAACGAGTATCAGTAGGAACACCATCAGTTACTGGGAATGCAGGTACATCTCTACCTAAAAACTTCGAAATACGATGGGATGACCATACTGGATGCCACTACCGGTCACCTCCAAGCAAAATAATTTCCTATCAGTTGTAATAAATCATAGAAGCGTCAATAACAGGAGCCGATATGTCAACCAAAAACCGACGGGGAAATGTAAATCATCCATAGTTGGTTTGTAAGGATTAGTTTTGTTGTTGCGAGTTGATCACGGATAGATATCAGTTAGAGAGAACCATTGAAAACCAGCTGCAGGGAGTACTGGACAGCTGTTTCATCAGCTTAGTTTGGGAATCATCGGCACTACACACCCACCACAGTGGGGTTCAAACCCAGGACCTTTCGGTTACAAGGCCAGCTAGCTCGTATACCATTCAGCCATTCACTGGGACCCAATTCAATGGCCAGCCCATGAATTCTAACTTCTACCAATTCATGATTTAGCGCGACCACCAACCCGTGTCATCGATGATCAACTCGTAAAAACAAAGCTAATCCTTACAAACCAACTGTAGGAAGTTAATCTGATGCTCGCTAGTGACTTGCTACAAGACAGAGTTTCTTGGAGTTCTGGTGAGAAAACGTGACCAGTGAGGTCCATCCAGTTAAGTGTGAGGATCGATATCCCACCGATGACAAGGGTTTGTGGTCACGCTAAATCATGAATTGGTAGAAGTTAGAATTCATGGGTTGGTCATTGAGTCGGGTCCCAGTGAATGGCTGAATGGTATACGAGCTAGCTCGCCTTGTACCGGAAGGTCCTGAGTTCAAAGCCCCCTGTGGTGGGTGTGTAGTGCCGATAAGTTCAAAACTAGGCTGACGAAACAGCTGTCCAGTAGTCCTTGCGACTGGTTTACAATGGTTCTCTCTAACTCATATTAATCCGTGATCAACTACTCGTAAAAAATGTATATCAACTAAAAAATAAAAATACTGGCTAATCTGTTGAGCGAAATTAAATTATCATTCTACGTCACTAAATCTTTAGATGTAGTCAGCATATACTATAAATCTGAATATACATCATGCATAGTGTGGAACTTTTAACATTTTTTTGTTAAACTTACAATGTTTGAGGGAATATATCCTGTGTTGCAGTAAACGTTACACAAGCTTTCAAATGTATCGGTACGAAATTGGATCCAAGATTTTCATGTTTTTTTTCAATTTGAACTGAAGGTATTGTGAAGGAGATATTTAATCTTTGTAAAGCCAATTGACCTTGTGTATAAGAAAAAGACAGTAACACATTTATATATGAGAAGCTAAATAAACATTTCTTTTTTAAAATTAGGTTGGATATATTGATTTGTATATTTTTGATTGTACACTAGTCAGTAACTAGTGTAATGTGTCTAGTCCTATCTTCGGTGCAGACTGAATTCTACCAGTCAGTCGAGCTTGCAATGTGGCCACCATGCCAGTAGGTGGCTCACCATCACGATGCACTGTGAATTGTTCGTAATATATGGTAGAAGGCGATCGGCCACAAAAGACCTTCGACCTAGGTTTCGTGCTAGTTGACACTCACCAGTCAGCAAGGCGTATCTGAGACCTCTGCAAGCTTGACTGATAGAATTCAGTCTGCACCGAAGATAGGACTAGACACATTACACTAGTTACTGACTAATGTCCAGTCAAAAATATCCTACAAGGTGGAGGTTAATTGCGAGCCTGAATGGCTCAGTGGTAAAATCTCTGACTGCAGGCAGCACTGGGTGACGCGGGTTCGAATCTCCTCAGAAGGGACATGAGTTCCTTCAGGGCAGTTGCAGATACGCCTTGCTGACTGGTGAGTTCCAACTAGCATGAAACCTAGGTCAAGCAAGGCTTCCTGTGGCCGATTGCCTCCAACCATATAAAAATCAATATTTATGAGTATATAGCAATCGACTTGACTGTTTATGTGCTTAGTGGAAATCTACTGCCCGTCAAAGGTTGAAATTAGCCACTGAAAACGAAACATTACGACAATATCAAGTAACTGTGACTCATTAATGTGGATGTTCAACTTTCAACTAATGGATTAGAGAGCATGAATCCAATCCCACCCAGGAAGGAGGTCTACACACAAACACAGACATACGCCCATACACGTGGATAGTTCAAACTAACAGACTACATGAACTGATGCTAGATTTTAGTCTGACCACCCTATTAAACTCTACCGACCCACCACCACCACCACTCCTAATTTCAGCTAACATTGCTTCATGAGAAAGACAATGGGGTCTGGCATGTGTGACAAGCATCCTAAGCATATGGAATCGATGCGGGTGGACAACCTCATCAATTGTCTTTTTACTCCTCACCTGACAGTTAACACTTCACCTGAATGCTACTCACTATATTTTACCACTTAACAAGGAGAAACACAACGCAAACATCTGTGGTCAAAGACAACTAGCCTTTTTCCATATCTTCCACTTTCTTATTCACACCAATACACAAGAGTAATTATCATTATAGTTCCCTTGGGTTCCTAGTGGAACATAGGGCTTCAACTGCACCTCTCCACTTGCTTCTGTCTTCTGCTGTACTTTTCACCTGCATCCATGTTAGTCCATACTGTTTCAACTCCTCTTCACACGATCTCCTCCATGTCACCCTTGAACGTCCCACTCGCCCCTTCCCTTTCGGGTTCCACTCGAGCGATGGCCTGATGCGCGATGTCACCCAACGGCCTCCCCAGCAAGTGTCCAATCCATCTTCACTTTCTCCTGCATATTTGTTGGGCGATTGGTTCTTGTTTTGTTTGTTCCCATAGTTTCTTGTCGGTGATTCTTTCCGGCCATCTGATCTTCAGTATAGAGAGAAGACAGTTGTTGATAAAGGTCTGCAACAGGCTGTTGGAAATATTCTTTGTGACCCACCAAGTTTCTGATCCGTATAGAAGAACTGACTTGACGTTTGTATTGAAAATCCGAATTTTGTATACCTCAAGAGTAATGCAAATCAGTAATGTACAAATTAATGTATGGTTAATATAAGGATAAAACTTGGGCATTGTGGTGGAGTATAATTCCATTATGGATAAAATTACATTTTGATTAAGTCACACAGTGTTGTTATACGGTAAAAATAATATATACTGATGATCACGCTTCGAGAACAATTTACCATTGCTACTCATAATCATTTCAAGGCACTACTCACGCAACTTTCTTGCTTCGTTTATATACATGAGTAGAAATTCATTAGACATTTGAATAAAATCAATATAAGATGAAGTACATTCAGAAATAATAATATTAGCGTTATCAATCAAATACAGTCATTTGGGAAATAAGATGCTTTTTATAGCAAAAATAAGTAACTTGCTAGAATGTTATAAGGAGAATGGAATACATTTTAACATTATTTATTATTCTCCGATTTGACTGGTAATAATATCTCCCAAATCTCTGGTACTAACCATGATGAGTCATTTATATTGTATGTGTTGGGTGTAGACTCGAAGATCCAGGATTCAGTAATCAACCTCTCTCGCTCTCCACCTACCTATATCAAGTTTTAGAATTTTCATGCATGAAGTGCAATTGCTGAGTTTTTTTTCTAAATTACTTATCTTCGTGGGATCAATCATTCTAACTTCATCCAAATTCTTATCTTCTGAAAATCTCACTACTTCTGATCTACTAGTTTGACCTATGTAGTTGACATCAATCGCAGTCATTGCAAGGTATTTTGTTAATTATATTATTTTGTTAAATTGGGTCCATCGACACGGTCCTTTAGCCTACAGGACTTGTCCTACGTAAGTGAGTTTGTAGGTTTGAATGCCACCACCCTAATTCCTACTCCATTGAGAATCCTACGTGAGGAGGGTCTCAGGTGTTTCCTCCTTATACAGTAAAACTACTGTAGATGCCCTATATTCTTTATTATTTATGTTATTATTACTAGTTTCATCATTATTTTTATTTAGCTATTGACCTTTTCTGATCTTCCTAATGAATTTTATAGGATTGTTAGTTATTTAGTACCGACTAGCAGTTCTTCTATCTGTTTCATTTCATCATTTATGTCTTTTTTTTTGTACTACTTAGCACTACTGCTCGGTGTGTTAGACACTTAAGTAAGCCTGCCTTATGAGACAGATAACGGATGAGGTGAATTCGAGTCTAAATATCTAGTTTACCTTCTTTTGTTCGTTTTATTTTACAATCTAACACCATAGCTAATTCCCCTTGTTCATTTTCTGATTCATAATGAAATTAATGTATGCGTTTACAGATAACAGTATAAATTAAACAGGATGCTACTATATAACTGTTAAACCCAGTTCACTGTACTAATGTTCGAAACGAAATGCGAACGGGTAATATTTCGGTGTCTAAGATTTACACCGACACACACACACTGAAAAAACTACAAATAGACTTTGTTTCATTCCATTTTGCATTCCACGTCGAAAATAGGGCTTTGAATTTGAGCCATGTACTGTGCTTGCTACTAGTTAGGCAAGGTTTAGGAATGCGTCAGTTGGGGATCGAACCCAGATCACGTGTGTTGTTGGATCACCGACTAGTTTATTTCCTGGCAGACGACTGAAACTGGCTGATAAAAAGCACATAAACCTAATTAATTCACTAATAAATTAGATATATTTAAAGACATGTTGAAAACCAAGCTCACTGAGTTGTATACAGCATATTATCAGAGTTAGAAGTGCTCTCCCATAAGTGCCTAACTCACATATGATGACCTGAAGAAACCGATTAAGCGAAAGAACATGCATTACAATTAGTGTCCCACCTTAGCTGGTAGTCACAAGCGAAGTTAGTCGATCTAAGCATTAAATTCAATAACAGTATATATAGAGAGAAAGGTTCATTAAAGTTAAGATGCACATCGGTAGAAATACTTTACAGTTAACAGGTAAGAGGAGATAAAACCAAAAGTCAAATACTCCAGTAATTTCATTGTTCTGAATATTTCCTATTTACTAAATATCACTTAGAGAACAGTGTGCATCGGTGGCACAGTGGTAGAATGCTCGCCGACCACGTCTCATGTGGTCTGTGGTTCGATCGCCGGCCACCAACGCACTCCCTTGCCTCGCTAACCCACTAATAAGACTGGTGAAGAAAGAAGGTTGGGCATGAGGCCAGCAGCAACCCCATCCCGTAAAAATAAACACACGACTGCTACCGAAAATTCAAGTCACTACCTTGAAGTCCCCTGTGTTCCACTGGGAACGTGAAGGAATAAAATTCTAAAAAACTTAGAGAACCAATCTAGGATTCTATGCACTGGGATTTCAGTCGTTGTGGTTAGCATTTATAATCCACCTCGCATACCTCCTGATAATACCACACACACACACACACACACCGACTAAAGAAATTAATAAAAGCACAAAAACATGCATAGAAATAAAACTGTTGCCCTACAACACAATGGCACCATTTGCAAAACTCCAGTGAGATTTCCACAAACCCTTACCCAACCGTATATACGTACGTGTGCAGTTCATGAAATCGCTGATTTTTTACTAGGATTACTATTGCTACTAGTACTGTGGTGAGAGCTGGCTGCTAGCCAAAGTTGGTAGACAGTAAATGACGTCAATGTTTATGTCCCCGATATTGATGGTGAGAAAATGAGAACAAAGGCTTTGCGTAGCCGGATACAGTTAGCATATGGATGATCTGACACAGCCACAAAGAGATGCAAGGTTAACTTTCTGTGAGAAACAACCAATCAAAAGACTGTATTTTCTACTAACAATAATCTACAATAATGTACATTAAAATATATAAATATGTGTTGATTTCCCTTAATAAACGATCTGTTGCCTGGCCCTTGTCTTCTGTTGTTACAGTACTAACTGACCGGCTTGCCATTAACAGGGGAATAGACGAAATAAAACTTTCTTGAATCAAGATGATACCACCTGGTTCTTCAGGTTGAAGTGGAATTACAACATCCCAAGTTGAAACATACAGTCAATAGAAAACAGTTAAACAATATAAATTTAACTTAGTATGAAATGATCATTTGTACATAAGTAGATTATTTAATATATATATATATATATATATATATATATATATATATATATATATATATGCATATATTACCTTGAATACCGATATGACGACCACGCATTTGAGCTGTCAGCAGATACGGTACATGATAAATAAATTCTGCATTAGGATATATTACTAAAGGCAAGTAAATTGCATGTGAAATGATGGTTGTATTCCGTTGATCATTGTCTAATCCACGTAGAACATGTGCACCTTCATACGATTCTGCTACAAGTCGACTATTTGATGAATTTGAAAAACAAAACTCCAATCCTGATAACTCCAACAATAACTTGTTCCAATGCTTTTCAACATCTGGATCATTCGGTGGCGGAGATTGATTGACTTCAACGTCTATGCTAATTAAAGCAATAGCACATAGAAGTAGAACCAACGAAAAGATTGCCAGTGGTGGTCGACTAACCAGGAATGACTTGACATAATAAAACTACAGTAGGAAAATAAATAAATAAAGACAATCCTAATATCAAGTGGCAAAATAATTAATGTCATACTGTAGAATAATTCATAGGATGAATAGAGCTTGGAAAGGATGTGCAATTATAGGATTAGTAGGTAAATCGAATAAAATAAAAAACGTTACGTAATACTGCGTGAAATTTGATAACATAGAATTTAATGTTGCAAAACAGAATTGATTTAGAATGATAAGTGGACAGTCTAAAGTGAGAATAGTAATGGTAAGAATTGACGTAATAAAGGAAGAATATACAATTCACCTGCTCGTGTGGAGCTAGATATATCGGTCGCTCAACTCGAGTTTTGTCACAGGCAGTGCAAGAACACTACCCTTCTGTATGGTTACGAAGAGGTAGAAGTGGAGCATTAAGAAGTGCGATCATTGAACACCCGGTCGATACTGATCCCCCTACCTCTAGAGCTTCCGCCTTTAAAGTTATCTACAAGGCAAAAGGTAATTTACCCGAAAAACTACGTAATAGACTCATATGTACTGCTGAAGCTTTGGCTATCGAAAGAGAAAAGCCAGATCTCTGTATACAGACAAAATATCGTTCAACCCCTCCAACTTTCATGGTCTTAATCCCTCTATGCTAAAGTATGGTAATCCCCAATCACATTTTGGCTTTACCTTTTTTCGCTTTGTTTATTCAATTTGTATACTGTTCCTTTATTACGTCAATTGTTACTATTACTACTCTCACTTTGAACTGTCCTCGGTATTATTTCACTTGTTCCACTTGTCATTCTAAATCAATTCTGTCTTGTAACATTAAATTCTATATTATCAAATTTCACGGTGTTACGTAATGTTGTTATTTTTATTCTATTCGCCTTCTAATCCTATAATTGCACATCCTTTCCAAGCTCTATTAATCCTATGAATAATCTTAATATCAAGCAATATTTTTAAAAAAACACAGCCAAAACAGTAAACAAAAAGAAAATTTCACAGTGATTGTTTTATTTAATCTAATCACATATATAAAGTGTGTACATGATAAAATGCAAAGAAAAGCAATGTTTAAAGTTTAACATGACTTCGCCAACAACGTAAGCAGACTTTGTAACTATCTGATTTTGTTTGCATAAAGTCTACAACTCGTACACGTTTACCTACAGGTTCTTCTCCATTTTCAATGATCATATCTAATTTGTCACCTGCATAAACTTTAGTACCCAATTTAAGAAGTTTTGCTCCATTTAGTCGAAATCGACTAGAAAAGAATGCATTATCACATGCACTCTGTGTTATACCTAGGCCTACACGAATAATTTTATCAAAACGTAATGATTTAACGCATGTTGATATCTGTTTAAAATTTGGATTGAATTCAACGTCTTCTGAATAATATGGATCATTTGATTCGGTACTGGTATCCGACTCATCAGGAAATTCTTCATCTGAACTATCGTCATCATCTTCATCTTTATCGTCGGAATGACGACGTCCTCGTCCAGTATGCTTTGACAAGTTAGTTGAATAAATCGGTAGAAATTTCCTATATGATATTGTACCAATAGTTTGAAAGCTTCTATGTAGTCGCCCAGGTGCCTTGTACAATGAGGATATGTGTAATGCAACACCAAATAAACCCCAACAATAATTCATAGTCCATTAAAATAACACAACCTGCAAAATAAAATAGTTGAGGATTTACTTTTTCCATAATTATAACAGTAGTGGCTGAATCAAAAGTTAGACGAACAGTGACAACTTGTAGAGATAATTAACGTGACCATAGTTACAGAAGAATGATCAGTTACTTTTTTTTAATTATATGACAATTGTGGCATGCTTGATATACGGACTAATAAAGTGTTAGACAAGCCAAGTAAAAGCATTACAAGCCATATTTTTATTCTTATGGCACGTGGAATATGTGCTTATGCAATGATTTACAAAAGCCCATTCTGTTCCTGTTGGGACTCAACCCTGATAGTTTATTTCGGAAGATAGTAAAAGTTGACGAGAATCCTGAATTACCTTTATTAGATATGTTTTCAAACGGAATCACTTCACTTCAATTAAGCTAGCTAAACCTAAAAACCCACACAGGGCATTTTACCTTTCTACAGAGCTCTGACAAACAGTAAGACTGCGGATTCTTGTCACCCCTCATGGTCGAACAACTCCTATCTCCCTCTCTCAACGTACGTCTACCTTTGGTTGCTATGCTCATACAATTCCTCGCACAATAAGGAATGTCGCCAGAGTAAAAGGTTCCCAAAGTCATACTATCCACAAAAGAGGTCCCACACACTACCCTTTAAACTACAGGCTTATTAGTCTTACCAGTATCCTTAAAGGGCTACCAGAGAGAAGAATCATGAAGTTATGGATTAACTAGAAATTAATAAGTCCTTATTCAGGGCACAAGGCAGTTTTGAGAGATAACTGTCCTATCTGACATGCCTTGCGATAGGAAGAAGATGAGTTAACTCTATATGTAACACAAAACTCATCGACACCTCATAAAAAATTTCATATTAGTTTGCTTATGGGATATATCACACATAAATCATACAGTGCCCAAGTTTTACACATATATTAACCTCATAAAAGACTCCATGAGACTACAAACTTTTAGCACCATGGGCAAACAAATTAATCGTTGCGAGTCACACGCCAAACAAAAATATCAAGACTTCTACACTTATCATCAGCAAATTACATTAAATGCAGAAAACGTATGTTAGAGGCAAACGGTTTAACGACACCAATGTTATTATATCTATGCAAGTATGTTATAACATACTTGTTAACAATTCCGTAGCTACTTAAGCATTTACCAGGTATGTGAATAATATTTTTAAAGAGGTTATTTTAGATGTGTTTACTCTTTGATAATGAAAAACCTTTTCCTCGAGTGGAATTCGTCACATTAAAATACAAAACTATCCATAAAAGTTCCATGATATTATGACTCCCCACATTCGAACTACGGTCCCCCACGTGTAAGAGACGCAAAAATGTAACAGATAAAATAAAGCGAAAGAGTATGTCAGTTACAGGGTTTAAAAATGACTCCAATGGTCATTTTGACTACATTAGAAAAAACAAAAGACGCGTGAAGCGACCCATTTCAAAGCAACCGCGAAAGTCTCGGAACCAGTACTCAGTAGTTTGTGAAGTTGTCGAACTGATGTCTTGTTGCTCACTTCGTAAGATTATCAAATAGCTCCAGATGTTTCATAGACTGTGAAAGAGAAGACTGATCTACTTAGGTGAAGTGACTTCCTTGATGTGCATTCTCATCTTGATGAGCCGGTATGAACCAAAATGAAATCTTCGTAGTTCCAGAATAATTTCTCATCTCCGGCGGATTTCTGAGTAGCCAGTTAGCCGAATGCCTGTCGCAGATCTCTTTTGCTCCAAGAGATGAGAAACTTTCGATGAATTCGAAGGACAGCTTGTGGTCAATTTTTAAGACTGTGTCATACCTTTAAAGGAAGTTAATGATTTTGTTGACCAGCCGTTCTGTGTGGTCGAAGGAAGAATGGTATGATAAATATTTTGGTAAAAAACATTGGTTTATTTGCAGAGAAGTTTGCAATCCAATCCAGTTACTAAAACCTCTATTTTTAGTAACTGCGATTCCACTAGAACATTGAACGGCATGTAGATCAGTAGTTAAGGCATAAAGAGGCAAAATAAATACCTCAAAAATAGGAACCAGAATTGGAAGCGTTAAGTCTATAAATAAGGCTTCTGGGTACTAATTGCCAACAAAGCTTTAGATCTGAAAAAACCAGGAAGAAATCTTGCTATTCTTAAAACTTAAATCTTCACAATGAATTCTGAGTTCTGCAGATACAAAAAACTTATATTAGTGAGAACTTAGACTATCGTTTCCAGCGATTTTCACCCTTCCTAATCTTGGAATCAGGTGTCGTTTTGGGTGTTATTGTGTCCTTTGCGTTGGCCAATGCAATTGATTAAATTAAACGAGTCATATGGTGGATGATGTTTTCCTTCCTTTCTTTAAAACACTTATTCCAAGAGACTGAAACATAAATGAGCATAAAGTAACAGACACAAAGTGAGTTGCTATTGGAGGCGATTAAAATTTCAGATGATATGTAATGTTTTTAAATCAGATTTGAACCTCGTCTGGGTATCTAGCTTGCCAGTTTTCTAACCGGTCCCATGTCCGGGTAAGGAGGAAGGGTTGGGCTTGGGGTTAGCAAACCCACACCACTAAACCTATCAAACCTTTGAAGAAACTTCAAAACACAGAAAATATATTAAAAATACAAAAACTTCAAATAACGACAATCGTATTCTTCGCTCGAATCGGAAAGGTGAAATGACACAGCGAACTGGTCTTTGGGAAGCCAGTCAGCCGGTCGATGTGTCTCCTCCTGATGAAAGTGAGAACATGCATGAGGTCGTGAGATGTACGTTCAATGTACGAGACTGGGAAGGCTGCCAAGGCAGCCAAGGAAATGTAAAATATGGCATAGAAATACTGGGTATCTACGAAAGCAGATGGAACGGATGTGGATTGTCAAGATTGTCAATTGGAGAATCGATAATCTGCTCCGGTCTGGTCACCCAGGCAACAACCATGAACACACTGAGGCAATGAGTGGCTATTATTATGTCACCAGTAACAGCCAAAGCTGTCATGCAGTGAGAACCAATTTCATCCAGGATCATGACAGCAAGATACATCTCAAAAGCACGGAAGGAAGGTCACAATTATCCAATACTGTGCACAGTGCCACAAACAATGCGGAACAGGAGAAAAAGGATGATATCTATACACAAATATAGATAGTAATGGACAACATTCCTAATGGTCACATCAAAATCCTCGTGGGCGATATGAATGCCAGTCCAACGGTGCCAGAAGAGAACTCATTTTGGGTCGAAAGGCTCTCGGAGGAATGAATGAGAAAGTAGGATTATTTATGGACTTCTTCGCTTTCAATGATTCAGTGATTGGAGGCAGCGCGTACAAACACAAAGATATACATAAAACAACTTGGATTCCGCCTGATGGACAGGCCAAAAACCAAACAGATTTCATCTCAATCTCAAGGAAGTAGAGACGCAGCCTGCTGGATACAAAGTCGAGAAGAGGAGATGTGAGCGAGCTCAGATCATCATCTTATACAAGGAACCTTCATGGTGAAGCTGAAATCCATGAAAACAAATCCATCCAACAAGAGCAAAATAAGCACCAAAATCACGTCAGCTCCGTTTGCCAGGACAACTAGCTCCAACTCGAACCAACTAAGCCGCGCAAGTGCCGCCAAGGTAAAGCTAGAGGCGCCACTTCAAATAGGGGATATGCCATATGATCACCTGGTTGCTGCCGCAGAGTAATGTCTTCGCCGGGGATTTTTCTGGTAAATTGTAGTTTGTAGCTCAGTCATAGTGCTTTCAGACAAAGAATTCAACTGGTGATGAGACATGGGTTTTTCCACAAATTAGTTCATCAATTAGTGCGTCGGTGGCACAGTGGTTAGGACTCTCGCCGACCATGCACATGGTGCGGGGTTCAATCCCCTGCCGACGCATACCCGTTATCTATGATCGGCCTGCAAAATTTGGGCTACCGATATCCATGCTCAAAATTCCATACTTGTACTGAAAATATGGTGTGGCATCAAGCTGTAATCAAAAATAAAAATGAAAAATAAAAATAAATTTAGTAAGTTTCGTTAAGGGAATTGCGTGTACTTGAGGCTTCTAGGGTGAAGTTTAGAGATGCAGTGAGTAACGACCAAATTTATTAGGTTATGGTGCGAACGCAAGAAACCGATCTGGACGTTCTACTGTGTAGTTGGCACAGCCCCATTGAGACACGCGCTATCTAGAGTCGTTACGAAAGGGTTGAAAATTCAGTTATCCCTTAATATTTTATTACTTCTATTCATATATCTGCGATTCGTATCCGCCCACGTAAAGTCTGCTGTGATTGGTTGTTGAGTGAGTCTTTGTTCTTGATTTTTCTCATGACCAAGATATGGGACGTAAATATTGGCGCAAATTGCTGTCTACCAATTTTGGCTGGCAGACAGTTCTCACCACATTCTTACTAAGTGGGCATTTAAACACACTGAGTTCATTAAGACTGGCATAGTGTGGCATACCACTAGCACAGCCAGTACTTTACATTCTACTGATTTAAAATGACAGTGATCGAAAAGTACTAAAACTCAGATAATCTAAAGTTACAAAAAGAATGAAATGACCATAATTCACCAAAGGCAGCAGTTCATATTAGAAATTCCCATAAAGGTTTCGCTATGCTAAAGTTAGTATTTTGATACCCATTAGCTGGCATAAATTGACAGGTTTCTAGACTACCTACTAATTCAAATGGACGTTGTATTCCTGAATCCAGTCACTGAAAAATACTGATTAGTTATAGCAGTGTAGTTTGAGTGACAAAATGCGTGTGTATGTAGTAAAGAACTGTAAGGGAAATTTAGTATCAAATGTGGCTGACATTTAAATCATCGCTTGCATCAGTTTATATCAATGAAAACAGTTCGTTCTGTTTTGCCCTACTTTGATGAAAGACGTTTTAGGAAAAAGCGATATTCTAGCGAAATCAACTTAGCCAAACGAACAACAGATTTTCACGTGTCGATAAT